CATTCCTGCCTTCCTGGTATAAATCACGTGTTCATTTATTAAAAATTTCTTTAGTCTATTGATCCTGGTTTCTGTTATTTGTTTCAATCAAACATGCAAAATGAGCAGTTAGTGCTCAAATAGGAGAATCTGTTAGTTCATAATGAATTGTTTTACACAGGAGATACAAATCAGTGAAGATTTTGCAACACATCTGTTTTCAATGACTGATAATAATCCCACTTTTGGTTGTCACGATCACAGATTCGGACTATCAGGAACAGAATAACTGTGAATGGCAGAGGGAAAGACCCTTGAAAATGGCAACAAGGAAAGAAAAATTCCTTTCAGAGAGCATTTCTGCAAGACGGATTCTTCAGCGCAATAGTTTGTTGTCATTGTAATAAGAATAGGCCAAACACTTGCCCACTCTTAAATGAAGAGAAATGAAAAAATGTTTTACATGATGTTTGCTTTAGGAGAAAAAGCAACCGAAGAAAATAGAATGAATTTGGAAGGCGCAGTCATATGAATTTCTTAAATTAAAAAATTATTAAATAAGTCTCTATCAATTAAGTTTTAAAATTTAATTATTTATTGTCATTTGATCCTTAAATATATATTAATATTATCATTCTAGTTATATATTTTTAAGTTTTGGATAAATATAATTGTAAATTTGTAATTTCAGAAGCGTATTTTACAACTTAATAATTTTTGGATTAATATAATAGTGCAGTTCAAATTCAGGGACCAATTTGTGTATTTACTCAAAAAGAACAAATAATTTTTCACTTTTGTCACCAAATAAAACTTATTTGATAAGAAAAGTGGGAAAAATTAATAAAATGAAAGACATCCCTCTAGAAACAAGACTTTATTCATTCCAGGACCTTAAATTTTTTTTTTTTTTTAAAAAGAAGATACTTATGCCTAAAGATAACTTATTATTCAATTGCACTATACATTGAATTTCAGTGTGAAAAACTGATTACTTTTTCAAAAAAATAAAATTCTTTTCATCCTTCGAGTATGATCCAGACAATAGCAGCAAAATCCATTATTGCTTCAAGTAAATTGATCATTTCAAGCCTAAAAGTCTAAAAGGAAAAAAACATATTGAAGATAAAACACCCTGGGAAAAATACCCCCAACATCTCCGTGGTGAAATTCAAGTCCATTTGTATTTGAAGGAGGATCTGGCAGTGAAAAGTGTGGCAAAATCTCAAGAGTGGACATTCAGCAACAACAAAGCCTTATCCCACTGGGGATAAAGCACTAGAGATTACTAAATTTATCTTAGATAACTATATTATTGATATAAAATATTTATCCATTTAATATAAATAAAAATCAAATTTTAGGAATGTTATTGTTATACAACTTAATCTTTAAGTGTCTTTTAGTTTTTCTCTCTTCCTTTTCACATGACCTTACTATCTTGCATTACGAAGGATATCACTTTGTACGTGTCCAAACCATTCTAACTAATTTTCTGCCATATTTTTTTCGATTGGTGATGCATAATTTTTTTTTTCATATATAAAATAATTTTATATCCAATCCTTTCCTTACTTGTATGATCACATGTCTGTTTTAATATTCTCATTTATACTATTCTCACTTTTCTCTCATTTTTTCCTCTTTAAAGCGTACAATTTTAAATATTTCCTTGGAAAATAAGAATCAAAGTGCTCTTTCCTTACTCATCTAGCGTCTTCTTAGATATCAAAATCTTATTGAAAAGTTTAGTGAGCTAAATGAAACTTTATTTTCCAGCACACTTTCAAACTTCAATAAGAACAGAAGGAATTACCACAATGCCACTTCCTTGGGCAAGAGAAGGCAACAAAATCCTCTCTAAACTTGTTGACATGTATGCAACCATATATATCAATATGCATCATCATTCACAAATTTAAATAAAAATTAATTGATGTATTTATATTTTACGTGGGAGATATGAATAAACATTAGCCACAAAGTGTTGAGCTATACTCAGATTAAAGTTGGAAAAGTATTTTGGGAATTGTAATATACATTTGTAAATTCCATCCAATTCATAAAGCGAAGAAGAAAGAATTTGCTGTTTTAAGATATATAATGGGACTGATCGAAGTAATTTGAAATAAATTTCAATAGGGTCACTTTCATGAAAAAGAGATAGCAAAGAATAAATTAGATGTGTTTTGCAGTTGATGAGTTTGTTGGCCTTCCACTTCTCCCAAGGGAAACAATTCCTCCGTATGTCCAATTCTCTTACAACTCATGTAAATCAAGATTTACAATAAGAGTATATTATTCAACAACACAGTACCACAATCAGGAGAAAGATAGGATAAAAAGATAATGATATAAGATATATAATACGATATAAGAAAAAGAAAAGTTAATTAAGGAACCGTCAAACTTTTATTTAAAGAATAAAAACTGAATTTTTAAAAAGTTTAGGAACTAAAAACGCAATATTTATGCCATAAGCGTAGCAAATTTGATCCCGTGTTGATGATAGCCATGCAGGGAAAGTAAACCAAAATAGTACGAAGAAGACTTAAAAAAACTTCCCAACAATTTCTCCCACTATATGTGAAGTGAGATCCATTCAATAACTCATATTCTATATCAAATTTAAATAATCTAACTGTTGAATTTAAAGTTCTTAATGCATAGATCAAATTTGCAAATTTTTATAAAATTTGAAAATTATTTGATATTTCATTTTATTAATTCAAATTGACGGGTAATCATAAAATCATTTTATACATTGATTTGAATTAATAAAATGAAGTATAAAATGGTTTTTATTTTTATTTTTTAAAATTTGTAGATTTAATTTATGCATTAAGAACTTTAAATTTAACAATTGGATCGTTGAAATTTGATATAGAACATGAATTAATGAATGAAGTAAGTCCGCAGTAAACGAATCCCTCCTCATATATATATATATATAAGAATGAATGAAGAAGGATCTACTTATTTTAAAAGTAAGATTACTTAAACTTATTTTATTCAATAATTTATATTTTACATCAAATTTTAACAATACAACCGTTAAATAAAAAATTCTTAATATATAAATATAGTTTATAAATTTTTAAGAATTTAAAAATTATTTAATATTTTTTAATTCAAATCAATATATAAAATATTTTATGATTAATTATTAATTTAAATTAATAAAATGGAATATAAAATATTTTTTTTTTGTTTTTTAAATTTGTAAACTTGATTTAATTTTTTTTTAACGCTTCAAAATATAAAATTTAATATATAATATTAGTTATTAGTTATTCTTATGCTTTTGCGGGGCACCCTCACATGATACGAATTTCTTCTTTTTTTGGGTGCCTCAAAACATGTGTTTTCCTTTAAATTGCCGTTAGCAAACAAAAGCATACTAGCTAATATCCTTTTTCTCTAAACCTGCATGCATACCACTTTCAAGAAACAAAAACTATGAATTATTCTTCGTGCTTTCTTATCATTCTTCTGGTATCCCATTTCTTCCCATATTCAAGCTCTAGCATGAGAATAATGATTCAGCAAGTCACCGAAGATCATCAACACATGGTTAGTATATATACAATTTCTTTTATATGGTCCATATATAATCATATGAAGTCCGTTTAAATACAGATTAAAAGTGTTATGATTTTTTTTTATTTTTAACAAAAATACTCCCCAAAACTCTTTAAAGTTGTATTCAAACATTCTTAATCAGTAGTACTAAATCATTCTTATATATATATATATTTTCTCGTGCCAGTCAAGAGGAACTGAGAGGAATCATGTTCAAAGGAAAGCATTGCATGAAGTACACTCAGGGCCTAATCCTATCAGTAATTTCATTCCTCAGCAAAAGTTGAAATCAGATACACAAAGAAATCATTAGGTCTTCTTTTGGATGTTAATTAATTTTTCCCTTTTTGTTAATAGTGAACTCACTTTTTCCTTTAATTTCTGGTTCTTTGTTCTTTCTTTCCCTTCCCCTTCATCATATTTGTTATACATATTTTAAGAGTCAGCTTATAATTGAGTCATACATAACGAATCTAAATTCAGTTTGACGCATAATTAACTATAACATATGCATAGCCATATTCAGTTCAGTTCTTCACTTTGCATATGGTTTCAAATCATCACTTGCTATATAGATTTTGTTTTTCTTGTTTTTCCATTCTCTATATGTGAATTGATATCATAATCCGTGGAAGGAATTAATTTGACTGATTAAGGAGCGTGCTCATTGAAATTAAATATAGAGATGAGAGTCATGTAGTTTAATATTTATATTATAGTTAGACTGATGAGTTCATTTGGAGGATTTGGTTTTTAAGTTTAATTTATTATTTTGATATTTGAGCAATATTTTCCTTGACACATGAAATAGAAATGTTGGGGAAAGAGTTATGATTTTAGTTTGTCGGCACAACACGAAATTGGAGTGGAACTTAAATTATTCGAAGTGCAAGTAGCACTTAGCTAGGAAACAATGATTGATATCTCACTACTGTTTAGCGTAATTATGTAATTAATATACTAATGAGTATGATACAAGGTGTCAATTTCTATACTTTAGCTAGGTTGTTCACCACATCATTTTTCTTTATTATTTTTTTGTTGGATGATTAAGGGTGTTTATTATTGGTTTGGTTCAATTCGAAAAACTCAACCCACCAAACTACCTGAATTAAGTTTCTTTTTTCTTTGATCATATTTGATGTAAACCAAACCAATAAGAATCAACCTCCTATAGTTCAGGTGCCTATATATAAAATTACTTTAACACCCTGTTGGATCATTCACCCTTTTAATATTTTTTTTCTTTTATTTTTATTTTCGACAAGTTCTAAACTTAGATTTTAAATATTTTTAATAAAACATTTTTTTTACATAACTAAGGATGCTGTTAATCCTTAAATTTTAAGATTTTGAATTCAAGTTTTAAATTTAAATAAATAAATAAAAAGACACTTAAAAGGATAACCTTTGGAACAAAAAGAAAAGATTTTAAATATCTTTGAATTTTGGATCTAAATTGAATTTGGAAAAGTAAAAATTACAAGGAGTTTTAGTTTTATAAAACATTTTATTTTATTTTTATAGTATTGAACCCGGTAGACTCAAACCAAATTCATCGGGTTAATTTGATTTTAGTTTGATGAAAAGAAAAAAGAGTCAAAAAATGAATCGAACAATTTTGATATATTCAATTTCTATTCTCCTATAAAGTCGAATCAAACTGATTCAACACACTGGAGAATGCTAACAAATTAATTATTGGATGTTACGGTACCCTCAAAAATCGAGGTGTTTCAATATATTTTTTTATATAAACTCATATAATATTTTAAAAAAATAATTTAATTATAAAATAAATAATCTAAATTATACTTATAAAATAAAAATAAGATAAAATTATATAAATTAAAATTATAAGATATTAATAATATTATAAA